GGGTGGGGGCTCCTGGAGGAAAACTCCCACATTTGCAATTCTGAGGGTCACACCACTTCACCCCAGAGGCCGTGTCCCTGAAGGAGCCAGGGTGCCCGCTGGTAACCAGAGCATCCAAGGCCCCCGGCGCACCCAGGCCTGCAGCAGACTCAGCTGAGGGGCAGGTACAAGCGGCCCAGGGCGCGCAGGTTCTCCCTGGAGGCCAAGCAACGGGCCTGGGAGGGACGCGGGCAGGGGCAGGACAGGAGGAGGGAACGAAGCCGGGGGTCGATGGGGTTGCTGGGCTGGTCAGTCCCTTGGCCTGGAAACAGAGGAGCCCACCCACGATGTGCCCGGCTGGCAGGACACCAGGCGGAACGAGCCAGCTGGGCCTGAGTCCTCCGGCGGCAGCAGCTGTGACCAGCTTTTTTCCATTTCTATGTCGTCGTTGATTGTAGAGCAGGAGTGGGGGACATCCGGCCCACGGGCCACGTAAGGCCCAGAAATTGTCCGCTCCGGCCCTGCCAAGGATTAGGGGTGAGTGAGTTAAATGTTTGGCCTAAGTGAGCACATGGGTAAGGGCGTGGAGACACGTGAAACTGGAGGGGTCTCATGAGGAAGGAGGCCGAGATGGAAGGGATGTGGCAGGAGCCCCCAGAAGCTGAAGAGGCAGGAAGGACCCTCCCTGGAGCCCTCTGAGGGAGCACAGCCCCAGACGCCCTGATTTCAGATTCTGGCCCCAGAACGGGGGAGCACGTGTTCCTGTTGGTTTAGGCCAGTTTGTTGTCATGGGAGCAGCAACCCCAGGAAATAGACCCCCTTGTTGGGGCTTTGACCGGGTTCTAGGAACAGCTGAGCCCTGTGCCCCGGCAGGGGGACCCCCTAGACCTCTCACTGCAGGCCTCACAGGGAGACCATCCCTGTGTCTGTGCCTCGGCCCTGCCTCCCGCTCCCCTGGGCTCCTCGGCAGCGACAGTGCAGTGGGCGCACCGGGCAGGCTGCTCAGTGGGAAGCGCGGGCCACGGGGCTCAGGGACTCCCGCCGCCTGGCGGATCCCTCAGCTGCAGGATGGGGCAGGGCCCTCCCCAGCCCTGCCCTCACCTCCCGGACCTCCACCTCATGAGTCCAACCTGGGCCTCGGCTTCCTGGGGCACCTGGGTTGACAGGAGCAGCACTGGGTGGTCATCCCCATATTCCAGACGCCAAAACTGAGGCTCAGAGAGGGGAGCAGAGGGCCCTACCCCAGACCACCTCCCCCTCCACTCAGCCCAGCTCACAAGCCGCTCCCCCGG